TATTTCATATGTTTAATTTAATAAAATAAATTAAAAAATGATACTGAAAAATGATATTAAATCTTTATTGGAGAGATTTTAGGAAAATGATAAATATTAATTTTTAATATATAATTAATGCTAATGGCATGGTTAATATTCAATGTTCATGGGTCATGTGATAGAGTGAGTTTGAGTATATATATATTTATGAGTTGTCTACATACAAACTATTTTAGTCCGTAATCAAATAACTTGAACTAAAAGATGTTATGTAATCATCAATTTATTGTTTTAAATATTATAAATATTTAATTAAGTTGATTAAATTAGAATTATGTAAAAAATTAAATGACTCGCGGGCCACAGGTTAAATTATAAAATAAATAATCAAAATACAATTGTACAAACTTAAATACAAAACTAAACAAACAAAAAAATACAACTTAATTTTTTTTAAATAGTTATAAAAACTTATATATCGAAATTAACAAACAAAATTAACAAATATAACTTCAAATTAAAAAATTTGTCTCGCGGGTTAACATCTAGTTTGTAAGGTAAGGTGAGAGCTGAAAAGTGAGAGGGGAAGTAATGAAAGTTATCCATCAGTCTTTCTTTATTTTATTTTACTTTCATCCAACTTTATTCTCCTAATGTTTTAGAAATAAGTTTGATAATTTGTCTTATATTTTCCTCTTTAGTTCTTTTTTCCTAATCTCTAGACTTATTACATGCAAGGTTTAGAACTATATAAGAAAGAACTATTAACCTTTCGTTTCTGAGCAACACATTCCTCAGAGGTCCTTCAAATGAGTAAACTTCCTGCAAATAGCAATAATACACAGAACTACATCATCATCATTAGAACTAATAAAGATGATATTGTTTCTTCATAGATTCTTAAGCAAAGAGATAACAAGTTCATATAAAACACCTAAAGCTGATATCGTTCACAAAGAGTAATGATGGATCTACGGATGATTCCAGAATCTATACCCATTCAAGAACAGCTAAATCATTGGCAGAAACTAAACAGTTCCATGTGATAGCAGAGAGGCTTCAGCTTCAAGGAACATGTAACAATCATGTAGTGATGATGTGAAAATTAGGAATTAAAAGTACCAGTTGTGAATTTGATTTGGTTTAAACTGTGTTAATACCGGTTTGGTTTATACTTTGTTAATTTCTGTTTGGTTTAATTGTGAGTTTTGGTTTAGTTAAATTGGTGATGAGAGACACTAACGCTTCCTTTAAACGGTCATTAAGAAACTAAACAGTGGACGTGAAAACCTGAAATTAAATCCAAAAAAGTATCCTTTTCCATTACAAAATAGACAGAGATGTTTTGAGTCTGAACCTCTCTTTTGCTCGCTTCTCCTTGAATCGGATTGATTTTGTTGTTTAATATCTTTCGCTCTGGTTGGTACAATCCAAACTTGGTTTTGGTTTATCCAAACTTCTTTTGATTGAAATATCCAATGCTTGATCACAGCTTTCGACGATTATGGATGACAGATTATAAAAACTGGTGATCGTTCCTGTTAGATAAGTTTCTATCCCTTTTACTCAATTTTGTTACTCTCTGAATTTTAATTTAGTTGACATTGCTTTTACATCAACGTGGAAGCTGTATTACCTTTTGCTGCTTGAATGGTTTAAAATAAGGTAACTGGACATTGTTGAGATTACCTTTTGCAGTATTATGAAGCTTTACATGTGTGTTTGATTCTTTACCTAGAGATTGAGGTATGTGTAGAAACTTTGCAAATTTTGGTCAGTTAAACGTTCTGTCTTTATCATATTTATGAAGTAGATTGTGATTCCTAGACCTGTTAATGAAATTGCAAACTTGATTCATAGGGAAGCTAAAGGGTTAAGGTTATTTACTATACAAAAAGTACTTATTTTCTCTTAAAGTATTGAGCCTTTGATATTTTCAAGCAGAACATGACTATATGTTGTGAGCTTCTCAAGAAGGCTCGGTCTGAGGCTGAGGGAAAACCTTCTAAGTCTAAGGAGCCAAATGTTGAGAAGTATGGTATTAACCATGTGAGGTATCTTCCCTTCCTGATTAATTTAAGTCGCACTCGAAATTAGTTAGCTTTCTGCAGGAATCATTTCTGAATCCTATATTAGATATGTTTCTGTATTTGTTCTTTTGGGGATGCAGATCGTGGACCAGTGGAATGGTTTCCAAAGAATTTTACGATCTCTCAAGGTCAGCCTCTATAACAATGCTGAAGCTGCGGTTAGAGTTTACAGAGACGTCAAGAGGAGTTGATGATTTCCAGATCATGAAAACTGTTTCAATGGTATTGAAAAAATGCAATAAAAACTGACATCATTCTCGTTTTCTAGATAGCTAAAGGATTGCATACACAACTCGTATCTGCCTACCTAATATATGAAATTAAGAAGCTAAGTTGTGCAGATAAATTTTTATGTTTAGATGATTGATTTTTTTTAAAGCTTCGTATAAGAAGTTTTATGTTTTAGATACTAGGAAGCATAATTTTAGGCAAATTTGATGGATGATGATTTTGCAGATTGATAAACCTACTGCTTGCTTGCAACTTGCAAGGGATGGATCCTTCTCATATAAGGTTTTGGAGCTTGTTGAAATTACCGTTTACAGTGTTCTGAAGCTTTCCATTAGCGTTTGATTCTTTACCTAGAAATTGGTTTTTGTAGAAATTCTGAAAAATTTGGTCATGTAAATGTTCTCTCTGTACTTTATTTATGATGCAGTTTGTGATTCCTAAGACTTGTTAACAATACTGCAAAGTTGTAACCAATTTACAGGATTTAAAAGGGTAATTTACAGTATTATCTTTTGAACTGCAGGGAAGCTAAGGGGATGCTGTAATTTCAGAAAGCAAAGCAAAGCTCTGGTTCCTTTCTCAATTACACCCTTCTTTTTCTTTTTCTAATCTTTAAAATTTGTCGCCTGCGTTTGATGTTTGTTTGCAGGTCCCATGAGTTCATTTCACATTTTAATTCTGAAGCTAAGTTGTGTGTGGATGAATTGCTATGGTTAGCTATTTAGTTCTGAGGCACTTTTAGTGATTGATTCTTCTTAAGCTCCTTATAAGAAGTTTTATGTATCTTATGTTCAGCTATCAAATAACTTGAAGCATATCTTTAGGCATCTATCCAGACTGAGATTTTGATGGTGATGATACTGTAGGAATTTTATGGATAATGCAGACTGCAGATCAGTGGAATGGCTACCAAAGCATTTTAAGATCTCTCAAGGAGAGCCTCTATGAATTTTTCTCTTTATTTCAGTTATGATGCAGTTTCTGACTGGAGCAGTAACTATGATTGCTTACTTTGAGGGCTTTATTCAATTTATCTAAAAAAACATGTAGTTGATCCGTGATATCCTTCTTTTTTAGGTGTTTTGCAGATTGTCCACCAGAAAACAGCATCTTGCATATGTAAAGAACGAGATTAAGCTGAATTTCATCAAAATCCTGGAGGGCATAAAGGTGAGAATGATGTTTTACATTTGTGTTTTAGAATGTTTTGTTTAAAGCACTTTAGGTGGTTGATTTTTGTTAAGCTCCTTCTAAGAAGTTTTATGTATGTTATGTTCAGCTATCAAATAACTTGATTCCTTTTGTTTTAGATACTATGAAGTATAGCTTTAGACTTCTATCTTGGACTAAGATTTTGATTAAATGATGATTTTGTAAAATTTGATGGATAATGTAGATTGCAGATCAGTGGAATGACTACCAAACGATTTTAAGATCTCTCAAGGAGGGCGCCTATGTAATGTTCTCTCTTTGTTGGACCTTGTTAGTATTACCTTTTGCAGTATTCTGAAGCTTTACGTTTGTGTTTGATTCTTTACCTAGAGATTCTGCAAATTTTGGTCTGTTATGATGCAGATTGTGATTCCTAGACCTGTTAACTAAACTACAAAGTTGTATTGAAATTGCAGGATTTATAAGGGAAGCTAAAGGGATTTAGGTCATGTCTTCTACAAAACCAAATGTTACTATACAAAAATACTTATTTTCTATTAAGTATTGAGTCTTTGATCTTTTCAAGCAGAGCATGCTTTAGACTTTGTCTTATGCCTTAGAAGAAGATGGCTTTTGCGGTGTACAGAAACATTCTAGGATTTTTGTGCAATGCTTTGGTTTCTTTCTCAGGTACGCCCTTCTTCTTTCGATGTATGGATGTATCATGCAGTGGGGGAAAAGATTTAAGTGGCAACATAAGGACTACTGAAACTCATTCTTTTGATCAAGATTTTATATATTCTAATAAAGCTTCAATACTTGTTGGCTGCGTTTGATTTTAGTATGGCTGCGTTTGATTTTAGTAAGTTACTTACATCTTCCTAATCTAAACCTGATGCTTAATGTCTTTTGTGATTCTTTTCTTATATTTGGGGATACCATTATACTCTTTATATCGGATATATTTCTTTGTTAGCATCTCAGGTTTCTCAAGGCTTACAATTTAAGGTTTGTTTGATATGAGAACTGATTATCTCATATGAGAACTGATATCTCATATCTATTCTCAGTAACTTTTGATTGAATATCCTGACAAAAAATTGATTAGAAGCTTGTATGTATGTAACTGTATAATTTTTCTTAGATTGTTTTCTTTTAAGTATGCGATTCCGAAGCACCTTTGATGATTGATTTTGTTTAAAGCACCTTGTAAGAAGTTTTAGGTATGTTATGTCCAGCTATCAAAGAACTCGATTCCTTTTTTTCTTAGATACCATGAATACTAACTTTAGGCTTCTACCCTCTTGGACTAAGATTTTGATTGACTTTTGCAGATGGGTAAAAACTACTTCACATACTCAAGGGAGCAATCCTAGTCGATATTAGATAAGTTTCTGTATATTTTACTTTAATTTACTCAGAATTTGGCTCATCCAACTAACATGCGTTTTTGGGGGATGCAGATTGCAGGAAATGGGAATGGCTTCTAAGCATTTTTAGCATACAAATGCAAACGGGTGTAATAATCGTCATCATCATCTAGTTACACTCCAAACGAAAAATTATAAATAAACATAGAAAACAAAACGATACTAGACCATAGACAACGATGCCTAAGACAAACATTCCTCAAAACATTTAGACACCAAACTCCTTTTGAGAATCCATTTCAGCAACAACAATGCTCAAGAGGATTCAGTGCCTTCACTAAACCAAACTGCATCTATTTTTTCAACAACAGCGTCCCTACCTGTGACGGTTTTCCCAGTACCATGTCCATCACCATTTCCGCTATTTCAAGAAACCAATAATCATGATAATGTTCTTGAGAAAGGTTTTAGAACATTATAAGTATAAATCTTTACTTACCATGGAAAGTCCTCCTCCTTCATGCCCAGCTGCCGAGTACAAGTTTTGTAATCCCGGTTCAAAGACACATTCTTTCAGGTTTTGTGATCATTCCAAACACCAGTTTCAAGTATCTATGACGCATTAGAAACAAGAGGCTTACTGTAAGGCTGCAACCCGACACTCTCACTTTCCTGTTACGGATGAAATCCTTGAGGGAAATATCTCGTAACTTGGCAAAGAATTCTGCTGCACGCTCCCATATGCACCGTATTATAACTCAACAGCTTCAGTGTCAAAACCAACAAATTCACGACTGCTCCCTGAAATTAGAGATGGATTTACTGGTTCAGGAGTTCAAGAGGTGGACTCATGAAATTAAAAATTAAGTATTTTAAGTATAGTAAATAATAACCTTTGGTTTTGTAGAAGACATTACTTAGTAACACTTTAGCTTCCCTGTAAATCCTGCAATTTCAATACAACTTTGCAGTTTCGTTAACAGGTCTAGGAACCACAATCTGCATCATAACTATGAAAGAGAGAACGTTTAACTGACCCAAATTTGCAGAGTTTCTACAATACCCCAATCTCTAGGTAAAGAATCAAACACATGTAAAGCTTCAGAATAGTACAAATGGTAATTTCAACAAGGTTTAACTCCTGCAAGAGTTCAAATAACAGCAGGAAAATAGAATATAATGATAATTTTAACACTTTGCTTACCTCCAAAATGGTCTAGTTATCTTCTCGTAGAGCAGCAGTCTACTTGATTGCATATAGGTAGGCAGCAATCCTTTAGCAACCTAGAAAACGAGAAAGTGGATTGCTTTTTTTCTAATATAATTGAAACATCTTTCATAATTTGCAAATCATATTCAGAGATATTTGTACAATGCATTTTGAAGCCAATCAACTGATCTGTAATCTATATTCTCCAAAAAAACAAGGATGAATAAAATTCAGAGAAATAAATTAAAATATAAGGTAGAGAAACTTATAGAATATGCACTAGCATCGTTCCCTTGTTGCAAGCAAGCAGTAGTTATATATATCTACTCAAATTTGATTCTCTCGCAGTCAAATTTGATTTGAAGCGTAAGAAAACACAGTCTTGGTCATTCTCACCTTTATGGCCTCCAGGATTTTGCTGAACTCCAGCTTGTCCTCGTTCTTTACTGTGGTCGAACCCATGCAAGATGCTGGTGAACCAAAAAAAAAAAAAAAAGGATATCACAGATCAACTAGTAAAGCCCTCAAAGTAAGAAATAACAGTTACAGCTCCCAGTTGTGATTTCCCTTTGACAATGCTGTAAAGAACTTACAACGCGTGAAACCAGACGACTAACTCAATCTGATCTACATCATGAGAAATTGCAAACAACATTTTGATGAGGTAGGTTTCAGAAAAGATTCCTGCAGCGAGCTTACTAGCGAGCTTACTAGTTTCTAAAGGGACGATTAAATTAATCAGAAACGGAATATACATGTTGATGAGGTAAGTCACATGATTAAGACCATAATACTTCACAACAATTGGCTTCTTCGACTTAGAAGGTTTTCCCCTCAGCCTCACACTGACCCTTCTTGAGAAAACACTCCTTCTTGGTAGCTTTGTCTTCAGACCTATTTTTGAGACGAACCTTGAACAGAGGAGTGGTAATAAAAACAGAGAAACAGGAGGAATAGAGAACATTATAGCCATTCCACTGATCTGCAGTCTGCATTATCCATAATATTTTACAATATCATCTTCTAATCAAAATCTTAGTCCAAGATAGAATCTAAAATCAAAACGAATCGAGTTATTTAGTAGCTTAAAAAATTAAGATACATAAAACAACTAAAAAATACGGAAGATCTCAGATGATGGAATCATCATCGAGGCAGTGATGGAATCAGCATCGTCGTCCTCATCTAAGATTAAAAGACGGAAGAACTCAGATGGCGCTACGAGCACCAAACTTGTGAAGGATAGGATCATGGAGATACTCAAACGAGTACCGGCGGAAACCCTAGTGAACTTGTGCGTATCGAAGCCCTTGGCATCAATCATACGCGACCGTCATTTCAAGAAATTGTTCCTCACCCACTCTTCTTCTCGACCAGGTCGTTTCTTCGTCTCCTTCAGACATTCAGATGGTTATAATTTACTCTCTTCGCCGCTTCCAACACAAAACCATAAGTGTAGAGCGACCAAATCAACAAAACCTATAGCAAATCAAACCGTGAATCCAGGAAGAGTTGATTGGGCGTAAACGTGAAGGAAGTTGCCTAAGGTAAGTAGCAGCTACAGATAAGGCTTCTCCTTCTTTACCTTCTTCACCTGGGTGGGGGTTTTGTATTGGGAGCGGCGAAGATAGTAAATTATAACCATCTGAACATCTAAAGGAGACGAAGAGACGACCTGGTCGAGAAGAAGAGTGGGTGAGGAACAGTTTATTGAAATGACGGTCGCGTATGATTGATGCCAAGGGCTTCGATTTGCACAAGCTCACTAGGATTTCCACCGGTACTCGTTTGAATATCTCCATGATCAGGTCCATCGGAAGCTTGGTGCTCGTAGTGCCATCTGAGATCTTCCGACTTTTAATCTTAGATGAGGACGACGACGCTGATTCCATCAATGCCTCGTTGGTTGAGTCACTCATTACAACGTAATTCGCTCGCTCTGGTGGAGAGGAACCCAAAGCAAAAAAGATAACGTTGGCTGCTTTTTTAAGAAAACGCCATTTGATTTGTAAAAATGTTTCCCGTTTTTTCTTTTTAATCAAGAGAAGAGTGATGGGTCATGGGGACTAAAACGGCAAACGTTTCTGGTAACAAGGAAATGAATTTTCTCTTGCTTTTCTAAATATATCCTTCCAAATCTAAAATCACAATTAGATAGGAAATAAATCTAAATTTATTTGAAGCAATATGGGTTTCAATTAACTAATTAAAACCGACCCGTTACGAATATTGTCACGATTGACCTTAATGATAATAGATTGTTCAGTTAAAGATGAAGGGCATTCGATGGAAAAAAAATTAAACCAAAGGTGGCCAAAAAATTGTACTTCAAAAATGTTATAATAGATGCCTTTAAAAGAAAAAAACATTTTGGGAAGTAAGTAATTTACCGATTTTTTCTGGGAAAACGATCTATTTCCCCCTGAGAATAACGTATAAATCCAGATACATCCCGAACTTTGATCCCGATGTAGATATTTCCAGAAAAAAGTTTGAATCCTATTTCCTCCCCCCCCCCCCCCCCCGAAATAAAAGTTCTAAACATCGGGATCAAAGTTCTAAACATCGGGATCAAACATCGAGGTTAAATAAATAGTAAACCAGTGAAAACCCAGAATTGGGGAGAATTAGATCTCGAACTTTGATTTCGGGAGGAATTAGGTTTAGAACTTCTATTTCGGGGAGAAATGGGATTTGAACTTTGTTTTCGGAAATATCTACATCGAGGTCAAAGTTTGGGCTTTATTTGGATTGATACGCTAGTTCTCAAGAAAACAACGAGGCAAGAGATAAGTTTCGAGAGGAACTCCCATTCTCTTAATTAAATCTAAAAAAAAATGAAGAAATACAACGATCCTAATTATTGAACCTGTAAGCAAAAAGAGAAAGGGAAAAAAAACAAAAAAATTTCAAATCTAATTAAACTCTTCTTAAAATTACATAATAATGATAACACAACAAACCTGTTATCCAAATGGATTACAGACCAAAGTAAATCATCGATAAGACCTTACATCAATTTCATTTATCTTATGTGTCCTCGTTTTTTTTTACCTTTCATTTTCCAATGTGCCTTCTTTTGTGTACTAGCTAGCTTAGACACGCTTTTTGCGTTATGAGACTAGTGGCGTTCTATCTCATAATGCTGCTCTAGGGAATTCGTTTAGTCCATAACTAGCTTTAGTACATACTGCTTCGTAACGTAGTGAAAGGGGTTAAGCCTATATATGTCACTATTTTCCATCGAAATCAGCATTTGTGGCCAGCAAGATCCTTTTCCGTTAATGGTAATCTTGAGTTGAGTCCCAAGAAAATATTTGTTGAGTTTTCTAGGGTTCCCAATCAATCAAGTGTATATAGAGAGGCAACAAGTGCATCATTGACGTAGGATGACAAATAATTGGTAATTAAAGTGATAAAAATAAATTACCAAAACTTGGGAAGATAATACACATGACTAAATTAAAATATTAGATTTATAGTTTAAAATAAGTTTTAAAAAAATACATGGCATACGATATTTAACATATTATTAGATTCAAAGTCGGCCTTAACCATTTGGACATCTATCTATCTATCTTATTATATAAAGTTGGGTTTTTAAAAGTTAGTCATTAACAAAACCGTGACATGTGTTAATTGAACTGATAAAATGTTGACAAATATCAGAAAATTAGTGGTAAAAATTATATAAATTAGTTTTCAAACAAAGAATATTTTCAAAATAGAAAGAAGAAAACAAAAATTCAGAAAATTTAAAAATTACTTAGTAGCAATCTCCTAAAGGAAAAAGGATAGTAATTGTAAAAAACATTAGTACTAAAAATTTGAGAATTTTTTAGAAATGCCCCTTTTATTTTACCCCTTTTTAAAAATACCCCTCTTTTGGTGTACTCCTTTTTAAAAATACCCCTCTTTTCTATCCATTTTCAAAAATACCCCTTTTCAAATATGAAAAATTATAAACTTTTATATTGGTGATAAGGTACATCAAGATTATCATTACTATTGGTAGACTAAATCCAAATATTTATAAGGTTTTAAAAGGTTCTAAACGGCATTTATAAGGTTTTTATAATGTTTACAAAGTTTTTATAAGGTTTTGAAATGATTTTTAAAAGGTTTTTAAAAGGTATTTATACGATATTGATGAAATATATATGTAAATTTACACACATATAAAGATAATTTGGGTCTATAAATATAAGCGTACACATATTTTTTAATAAATTTCAAATTTTTAGTGACTTTTTGATAAAATTAGAAAGATGAGTATTTTTGAAAAGTTATATTAGAAAATAATGTATTTTTGAAATTCCCCCTAAAATTTTACAAATATTAGGTCTAAAACAAAAATTAACAAAGAAAGAAAAAAATATAGTAAATTAGTCAACTATAAGTTAATATTAGAAAATATTTGCATTATCATGAATATTATTTAATACAAATATTTTTATTTCGAAAGTTAATCTAAATAAGTTAGTCATTAACATGATTGTAACATGTTTCAATTGTATCGATAAGATATTGGCACGTGTAAATTCAAGATACATATATTAAAAATATTTTAATATTAAATTTATAAACTTATCATAAAAAAATATTCATGTAACAATCAATTAATTTTAAGAAGTACGATAAATTACACAGTCAAAAATATATGCGAGAATAGTTTTTCAAAATTCTAGAGGTTAGGAAACAACATTTTATTTAGAATAATTGTATAATCATGTTTAGGGTATAATTGCAAAATTAAGTCTACAATATATATTTTATATCAATTGATAAAATCAGTCTATGTTTAATTACATTGTGCAGTCAAAAATATATGCGAGAAATGTTTTAAAAAAAAAACAGGAGGT